ATATAGTGGTTTCCCCGGTAACCGCAGTACACAAAGCTGACGTGCAGCGCTCAAGTTTATTCAGTGAAATCGTAGCCTTTTGAAGTTTAATCGTCATATTAATCCAAATAGCAATTCTTGTCTTTCCGTCCCCAAAGACCTCTTATAATTTAGACTTTTTGTACCATTTAAGAGTTTGCATGGCCTTAAATGTAAACAATTTAACTGAAGACGTTTTAAGGACCCGCGGAAACCCTAATAAGAACATAGTCCAGTGCAAACATTTCTGTCATGCATTTGGCAAAAAGCTTTTGTTGATTATGAATTTTACCTTTGAAATGTGAGGCAAGTGCAACTCTGGGGTCCCCGATGTTTGTGAGCAGTGGTGTGATGGCGATTTAAATAAAATACAGATTTCCAAACATATGGCTATCCCCTTGAACTTGGTAAAAAGATAATCTGTTTACCATCTTGACTGGAAAATACTGTTTTCATGGTCAGTTTTTCATTTATACGGGAGCGGCTGGAAACTAGCGACCTCTCCTGGATGGAGATAGTATTAACATCATAAACTGAAAGCAATCTTTACGTGACTTGCTTTTCAAATGTTTTAAAATTGATCATCGGAGTCTAATATGATCCAGACTCGGATCTAGAATAAATGAGAACATGCATTACTCATCTCACATTGCTCAAAAACACAGTCAGTATTCCTCAAAATCAATAAAAACAGTGAAATGCAAACTCAGAATATGACAAAAATCACATTTTATTAAACAGTGTCTTTGCTGCTGACCTTCAATGATCCAAATCAACCATACGAATGAGCAAAAATGACTTTAGATAAACATCACATTTGTGTTTCTTTTGTTTTATTGCTGACGAATGTTGAACTTTCCTCTCCTGCGTTCTGTTCTTCCTGTGATCCAGAATGAAAGGATTGTTTGAGCTTTTTGAATCTACATTTCCTTCAGCCTGAGGCTCATTCATTTCACTTTTGGTGTGAAAGGGCTTTTACATTTGCCAAAAATATAACTTTTTTTATATTTAAAACAAACAAGCAAGCCCAGCCCAGACGATCGTAGTTTGTGCATTTTTTTTCTCATCGGATAAAAAGTTTATCCTACTCAGTTGTGTGCATACGTTTTTTTTTTTATGCACATTTTTTGAATTTATGTGCATCTTGGCGTTTCCATCCAGCGGTTATTTTATGCGAGAATCCAAAATGCGCATAAAAATAGGTGGATGGAAACATAGCTACTGATGCGTCTGCACCTTAATGATTGCGCTGCAGTTTCGTCGCCTGTGGCTTTAAATGCTGGAGCTCTTTAAAGCTGAGTTGAACTCTCTCTGGTTGTGTGTGTGTGTGTGTCAGTTATTTCGCTCAGATCCTGGAGGAGCACGGGCCGCTGTGCGCCTCGGACCCGCTGATGGTGGGCGAGCTGGAGAACTTTCCTCCGGAGGCGCAGCAGAAGATCGCAGACGCTGGAGGACTCGAGTCCTTCCTGCTGGAGTCTCTGCGCTTCGTCATGATGGACGAGCTGATCGGGCTGATGAAGCACGCCGTGTGTCTGACAGACTCCCTGCCTCCGTCACACCTCAACCCCTCGGCTGAAGAGTTCTGGCCTCACGCAGACGCTCTGAGCGACACTGCGTCACACCTCAGCCTTCCTGATGATGATCCAGAGGAGTCTGCGTCCTCGGATCCGTTCCTGCTCCTCCCCGACCCGTATGCCTTCGAGTGTCCCGTCTCAGACTACGAGTATCTGGCAGCAGATGTGCTGGAGCGAGCGCCGGCGTCTGAGCAGAGCGAGGACAAACACACAGCCGTGTGTGAGCAGGTAAGATGGGACGGATGACGGGAATGTCGTCAGGATGAGTGCCGTCTCTGACCCCTGACTCTGTCTTACAGGATTTGGCAGAGCATACAGATGTCTCCATTAACACAGAGCCATACGTGTCCTTCGAGAGCAACAACGTGAGTGAATTTCTGTGAGGTTCAGCACATGATGTGAACATTACATTCATTAGTAGCAGCAGGCCTGCTGATAGCGAACAGCTAATCTGTGTTTCTTCCAGGGCGACATGCTTCAGAAAGAGAAGCAGAGTCTGCAGCTGTTGAAGGAGATCCAGCAGATGAAGGAGGATGATGAAGCTGTGCAGCAGAGGAGGGCCGAGGAGATCGCAGCGCTTCAGGAGGAAACCCAGAAGACCACTCTGAGGATGCAGGTAGAGAAAGTTCTGAAGCGTTTGTGTGTGTTCTGCGGCTCAGACGCGTGACTGCGCTTCTGTTCAGATCGCCAGCACCGAGCTCAGCATGTTCCAGCAGAAACTAGAGGAGGAGGTGAGGAAAGACCAGCAGGAGAAGAAGGAGAACCAGGAGACGCTCAAGACGCTGAAGATGGAGATCAAACACCTGGCAGATTTACACGAAAGGTCAGACGCACACTCATGATCATACACTCACACACATGTCCCCCAGAGAGGACACCTCTAGCCCTAAACTTACCCATCCCAGAAACATGTGCAGAACTACATTCAAATACAAACATAATTTGGATGATTTACAAGCCTAGTGACGACCAGTCAAATGAGGACATTTGAGCCTCAGAAGTATAGTTAAAGCTGCTGTTTCACAGCTGAATGGCTCTGTGTGTTCTCTAGTCACACCAGAGACATCAGTGTGAAGAATAAAGAGTATGAGGCAGAACTGGAACGATTCCTGGACGCCAGGTGAGTCTGAACACTTACACAGTTACATTTCTATGGAGAGTTTTTCACTAAATTACTGTTTTTGTTACTTGCTGTTTTTGATTAAATACATGCAGCTTTGGGGAGCAGAAGAGATTTTATCCACGTACATGCAGTTAGGGCTGGGCCAAAAAAATTGAAACTTATGAAACTTTTTCATATCAGTCGATATCGATCATTTAATTATCACGATACATTTCAAATCTGTATTTCTTTCAAGTTTAAAGGCAGATTTGTGCTCCTGAGTGAAAGCTGTAGAAACCAGACTGTTACACTTTCAGTCATTTTTCCTGAACAAAATAAATATCTTAATAAAAAAATTTATTTCTTAGTTTCTGCATGTACTAATTGTTTCAGATCATGAAGCAGGATTGTGTTCCTGACTTTGACGACGTTTATCTTCAGCACAGTGTGCAGTGCAGGCTGCATTATTAATATTACATTTTTTGTCTCTCAGAAATGCACACGTGGCAGTAGCTTGAGTTTGGACGCAGATGCAAATTTGTTCATTATCATAAAAACCGCAACAACCTCATTTTTATATGGTGAAATGTAATTATTCTGACTGAGTTTTATTAAAATTAACCCTTGGTCTTCCATAGTAGCAAACATTGAGATCATGATAAAACCACACATATAGCACCTCAATACCACGGTAAAAATCTAACTACTGTTTTTCATACAAATACCTAGAAAGTCTAAATACATGTAGTATAAATGCACAAATGCTATAGCTTAATCACGAAAAATACTGTAATTATATTCCATTACTGCTTTAATACATGTCTACATTAATATAATAAAATTTGATATGAATATCCTTAATTTCTGACACAATACCATGGTGCAGTTAGTGTTACTAGAGTAAATCCATGGTAAATGCTGGTGATTTGTAGATTGAAAGTCTTCTGACTGTCTCGTTGCTCAATGTTTCTCGTCTAAATCATTTGTTCTTCTCTTGTTCTTGATCTGCTCTAGTGAGCTCGCGCTGCGCTGCCGTCTGACCTCTGACCCGAGCGCTGTTTCCTTCCGCTTTCACCGCATAAACATCATATGCAGAACATCATTATTTGTTCTACTGTAGTTTATTTTTTTTGTCCTATTGCTTGTAATTAGTTTCTTATTATTTAATCGCTGACCGTTTACTTCAGTGAGCGTGAGTTTGTTTTTTTTTAGGCTAGTATTATTTTTTTGTGATATTGACACTGGTGACAAGAATTATGAAATTTCTATGGTATTAAAAATGTTGATGATATAAAGACCTTATCTAAAGTAAAAATAACTATATCGTGATATATATCGTTGCCATGAAATAAAATTACTCGTATAGTGATGTAAGGTTTTGGTCATATCGCCCACTCTTAACGTGTGAGTGTGTGTGTGAGTATCTCTCTGTGTGAGTGTGTGTGTGTGAGAGAGTGTGTGTGTGTGTGAGAGAGAGAGAGAGAGAGAGTGTGTGTGTGTGTGTGAGAGAGTGTGTGTGAGAGAGAGAGAGTGTGTGTGTGTGAGAGAGAGTGTGGGTGTCTGTGTGTCTGTGAGTGTGTGTGTCACACTGATGCATTAACGTGTTTGCACGCGTCCTGCAGTAACCAGTGTGCGTCTGAGCGGCTGAGTCTAGAAGAAGAGATCAAGCGCTTCAGAGACGCGTGTGTGAAGGCCCAGAGGAGATCCACCATGGCTCAGGTGAGGCTTTCAGCCCGTGTGCTGAGGATGTGTTCATTCCTGGACGCTGACTTGACACTGTTGTGTGTGTGTGTGTGTGTGTGCTTCAGCTGTGTGTCCTGCAGAGCAGATCTGAACACACGCTGCGGCGGCTCAGGATGAGCGTCTCTGAAGGGAAGATGGTGGTCAAACACCTGACAGAGGCGTCGCTCAGGTACACTGCAGACTCACAGGTGTTTACACAGAGTGTGATTTACAGGTGTTATGATTGTGATGTTGATTGTGCTGCAGTTTCCGCTCCGCTGCACTGCTGTCAGCCGTAGACGACTGGAAGAGACACGTGTGGGACGCCGAAGACAAAACCAACAGGACTCAGGTGAGCTTTCTTCTGCTACTGTCTTCTCTCACGACCCGCGACAGCACGGCTCTGTGTTGAGACACAATCCGTTCTGATTAACAGATCTAACAGATCAGACACACTGTGGTGCTTTCTCTGTGCTTTCTCTCAGATGGAGTTTGAGCTTCAGATGGATCAGGTGAAGAAGGGTGCCAGACTGAGTTCACTGCCTGATATCAGTGTTCCCAGCATCCCCGCAGCACCCGCTCTACCGGTGAGAGCCGTGGGCCACCTGAAGGTCAGGGGTCATGACCGGTCATCTGATCAGTGTTTGTGTGTCCTGCAGGTCATGCTTCCTCCTCCAGTTCCTCAGCCGTCCGGCTCTCACTTCTACGGGTCACTTCCTGCCGCACGCACCCCCACACCCACAGGAAGAAGCACACCGCAGCCTGCGGACAGACTTCCTGAAGAGCCTGTGAGCCATCGGCCTTCAGCGCCGCAGCACCTCTCTGTGTACGACAGGATCCTGGAGCGGCTGCACATGATGTTCCCTCATTACAACAGGTGCGGCTACAACACAACATAACACACACAACAGCATTCATGTTTCTGAAACAAAACCCAAACTTCAGAAACACGTATAAATCCTCCTCATTCCAGTCTTCTGAGCGCTGGTGTGTTTGTGTGTAGGATGGTGATGAATAAGTTCATCCAGGAGGTCCGTGTGTCCAGCGGAGGCGCTCTCAACACGCTGACCTATGATGACGTCATCAACCGAGTGGCTCAGCTCATCCTGGACCATCAGGAGAACACGCGTGTGCGTAACCGTCTCGCTCACTCTCTCGTGTGTGCATGTGTGTGCGCGCGTGCGTGTGTGTGTATGTGTGCGCGTGTGTGTGTGTGTATGTGCGTGTGTGTACGCGTGTGCGTGTATGTGTGCGCTGTGAAGTGACGATGTGGTTCCCTGTTGCAGGAGCACATGAACATCACAGGTGGAGACGCTGCGGGTCACATGACTCCTCCACACGTGTGGAAGACGGTGTCGGAGAAACATCGCAACACGCCGCTGGCGGTAAGAATCACACACACACACACACACACTTAAACTGCACTCGTCTAACTCTAACCTCGCTGAACATGTGAATGCGTGTGTGCCGTCAGCTGAACATGGAGGATCCGTGCATCATCTGTCACGAGGACATGAGTCCCGAGGAAGTGTGTGTCCTGGAGTGCCGCCACAGCTTCCACAGAGAGGTCAGGACGCTTGCTCTCGTCACGTCTTCCTGAGCGTCTGGCAGCTGTAGACTGATGCTGTGTGTGTGTGTGTTTCAGTGTATAAAGTCGTGGCTGAAGGAGCAGAGCACGTGTCCCACCTGTCGAGAACATGCGCTCTTACCGGAGGACTTTCCCATGCTGCCCGGCAGACACCGCAGGAGCCACGCACCCGCCGCCGCCTTTAACTGACCCGCTGTATGTTCATCAGCACACGCATCAGACACCAGTCTCCTCATCCAGCTCATTTAATCACATACACTTTGTTTTCGGCTGTTGGAACCTCGACGGACCAATCGGTGATGTTTACTTTCAGGGCACATCTGTGTTTTTCATTCCTGTAATAAAGTTCATGCCGTGAACTGATTTTACTCATCCGCTTTTACTTTTGCTTGTCATTTTACTTCATTAAAACATTTAACCAAAGCAGCATTCTCCTGCGGTGTTGTTTTAGAAGCTAGCGGCGCTACATAAAGAGATTCAGACTGGGGAAAAGCTAATAATTAATGAAATCACAGGGTTTCCCAAGCACTGATTTATTTGTGGAGGCCCGCCACAGTATCAACACTGACACCGCCACAGATTTTCCTAAAGGCTTTGACTTCGTTGAATAAACGTGAGCACTGCACGTTTCAAAATCAAAACACGGCTCGGGTGTTTTTATATGAATGTAAGTTTTGATGTCATTTTTATTTCAACTTTCCTATCCACCTTATTTTTCCCGTTAGAGCGGCGCGGCCATTTGTAAATTTAATGTGCGAGGCTTCCGGTGTCATTCACTTTCAGCTATTTTTAGTTGTACAAAACAGCACATTTGGCTGCTTGATAGTGCAAATTACTGTGTTGTTTTAATGTATTATCTCAATGACGAACACACTGGTTTGTAGTTTACTGCACTTTGATATTCTTCTCGTTATTTCCCTACAGCAGTTAATGAACCGGAAGTCTCGCACAACCCACAAGCTGGATAACGCCTGATAAAGTAGCGTTCATGAGCGCAGCGCTGCTTTGTTTACAGCCGTCACCGGGGAAACTGCTGTTTCTGCCGCTCCTAAAGCACCTCCTGCTGGCAGAGAGTGAATTTGCACTTTCAATAAGCCTGTCTGCTGTTTTATATTTACATTATATACATGTATATTTCCTCCAGGGGAAGTGTGAATATGGTGTTAAATCATTGAAATGTTAACTTAAAATAACTCCGAAGGGTTCAAAAACATTAGGGACTCCCTGTATAACGTCTACAAGTAAAACAAATGAGACAGAAATCCATTTAATCCGTGTCTCACACGTGAGTTTTAATAAACACTTATATTACAGAAACAAATGTAAATATTCACTCATGGTCAACAGAGTCTTTTACATGTGAGTTACTGTGGTGAAATTTCTAGAGGGGCGGAAATTTGTTTCACTGGGGACCAACAGCTGTTTGGTAAAAACACATTCTTCACAATATCTTCCAACAGAAGAAACTGGAACAGGTCGAGGGCGAGAAAGGGATGGTAATGTTCATTTTTGGGTGAACTATCGCTTTAAAACTTCAAGTTTGTATTTAATGTATTTCTCAAAACCAGATTGAGAGATCGACAGCATAGAACATTCTGAAAACTACATTCTATCCTGTTGAAGTATTAGTAATAAACCATGAACAGCATGTCTAATTACTATAGATGCACGTTTGAGTCATTCTCATATCTATCTGCTGTAATTAGACATGAATGATGAAAATATAGTGACTCGTGATTTATTATGAATCATTTGAAAGGATATCATTATTTGTTCACTATTGACCAGCCAGGTTTCTTTAGACTTTGTTTTTCTTCACACTCTTTCTGTTCTTGCCACGTGTCTTTACACATCTGAGTTAAGGCTGCTCTGTGGCTGCTTAAAAATCAGTGTAAAGATGCAATGATGCATAGAAGAAATTCACTGAGTGACGTGTGTGTGTGTGTGAGAGAGAGAGAGAGAGAGAGAGAGAGAGAGAGAGAGAGAGAGAGAGAGAGAGAGAGAGAGAGAGAGAGAGAGAGAGAGAGAGAGAGAGAGAGAGAGAGAGAGAGAGAGAGAGAGAGAGAGAGAGAGAGAGAGAGAGAGAGAGAGAGAGAGAGAGAGAGAGAGAGAGAGAGAGAGAGAGAGAGAGAGAGAGAGAGAGAGAGAGAGAGAGAGAGAGAGAGAGAGAGAGAGAGAGAGAGAGAGAGAGAGAGAGAGAGAGAGAGAGAGAGAGAGAGAGAGAGAGAGAGAGAGAGAGAGAGAGAGAGAGAGAGAGAGAGAGAGAGAGAGAGAGAGAGAGAGAGAGAGAGAGAGAGAGAGAGAGAGAGAGAGAGAGAGAGAGAGAGAGAGAGAGAGAGAGAGAGAGAGAGAGAGAGAGAGAGAGAGAGAGAGAGAGAGAGAGAGAGAGAGAGAGAGAGAGAGAGAGAGAGAGAGAGAGAGAGAGAGAGAGAGAGAGAGAGAGAGAGAGAGAGAGAGAGAGAGAGAGAGAGAGAGAGAGAGAGAGAGAGAGAGAGAGAGAGAGAGAGAGAGAGAGAGAGAGAGAGAGAGAGAGAGAGAGAGAGAGAGAGAGAGAGAGAGAGAGAGAGAGAGAGAGAGAGAGAGAGAGAGAGAGAGAGAGAGAGAGAGAGAGAGAGAGAGAGAGAGAGAGAGAGAGAGAGAGAGAGAGAGAGAGAGAGAGAGAGAGAGAGAGAGAGAGAGAGAGAGAGAGAGAGAGAGAGAGAGAGAGAGAGAGAGAGAGAGAGAGAGAGAGAGAGAGAGAGAGAGAGAGAGAGAGAGAGAGAGAGAGAGAGAGAGAGAGAGAGAGAGAGAGAGAGAGAGAGAGAGAGAGAGAGAGAGAGAGAGAGAGAGAGAGAGAGAGAGAGAGAGAGAGAGAGAGAGAGAGAGAGAGAGAGAGAGAGAGAGAGAGAGAGAGAGAGAGAGAGAGAGAGAGAGAGAGAGAGAGAGAGAGAGAGAGAGAGAGAGAGAGAGAGAGAGAGAGAGAGAGAGAGAGAGAGAGAGAGAGAGAGAGAGAGAGAGAGAGAGAGAGAGAGAGAGAGAGAGAGAGAGAGAGAGAGAGAGAGAGAGAGAGAGAGAGAGAGAGAGAGAGAGAGAGAGAGAGAGAGAGAGAGAGAGAGAGAGAGAGAGAGAGAGAGAGAGAGAGAGAGAGAGAGAGAGAGAGAGAGAGAGAGAGAGAGAGAGAGAGAGAGAGAGAGAGAGAGAGAGAGAGAGAGAGAGAGAGAGAGAGAGAGAGAGAGAGAGAGAGAGAGAGAGAGAGAGAGAGAGAGAGAGAGAGAGAGAGAGAGAGAGAGAGAGAGAGAGAGAGAGAGAGAGAGAGAGAGAGAGAGAGAGAGAGAGAGAGAGAGAGAGAGAGAGAGAGAGAGAGAGAGAGAGAGAGAGAGAGAGAGAGAGAGAGAGAGAGAGAGAGAGAGAGAGAGAGAGAGAGAGAGAGAGAGAGAGAGAGAGAGAGAGAGAGAGAGAGAGAGAGAGAGAGAGAGAGAGAGAGAGAGAGAGAGAGAGAGAGAGAGAGAGAGAGAGAGAGAGAGAGAGAGAGAGAGAGAGAGAGAGAGAGAGAGAGAGAGAGAGAGAGAGAGAGAGAGAGAGAGAGAGAGAGAGAGAGAGAGAGAGAGAGAGAGAGAGAGAGAGAGAGAGAGAGAGAGAGAGAGAGAGAGAGAGAGAGAGAGAGAGAGAGAGAGAGAGAGAGAGAGAGAGAGAGAGAGAGAGAGAGAGAGAGAGAGAGAGAGAGAGAGAGAGAGAGAGAGAGAGAGAGAGAGAGAGAGAGAGAGAGAGAGAGAGAGAGAGAGAGAGAGAGAGAGAGAGAGAGAGAGAGAGAGAGAGAGAGAGAGAGAGAGAGAGAGAGAGAGAGAGAGAGAGAGAGAGAGAGAGAGAGAGAGAGAGAGAGAGAGAGAGAGAGAGAGAGAGAGAGAGAGAGAGAGAGAGAGAGAGAGAGAGAGAGAGAGAGAGAGAGAGAGAGAGAGAGAGAGAGAGAGAGAGAGAGAGAGAGAGAGAGAGAGAGAGAGAGAGAGAGAGAGAGAGAGAGAGAGAGAGAGAGAGAGAGAGAGAGAGAGAGAGAGAGAGAGAGAGAGAGAGAGAGAGAGAGAGAGAGAGAGAGAGAGAGAGAGAGAGAGAGAGAGAGAGAGAGAGAGAGAGAGAGAGAGAGAGAGAGAGAGAGAGAGAGAGAGAGAGAGAGAGAGAGAGAGAGAGAGAGAGAGAGAGAGAGAGAGAGAGAGAGAGAGAGAGAGAGAGAGAGAGAGAGAGAGAGAGAGAGAGAGAGAGAGAGAGAGAGAGAGAGAGAGAGAGAGAGAGAGAGAGAGAGAGAGAGAGAGAGAGAGAGAGAGAGAGAGAGAGAGAGAGAGAGAGAGAGAGAGAGAGAGAGAGAGAGAGAGAGAGAGAGAGAGAGAGAGAGAGAGAGAGAGAGAGAGAGAGAGAGAGAGAGAGAGAGAGAGAGAGAGAGAGAGAGAGAGAGAGAGAGAGAGAGAGAGAGAGAGAGAGAGAGAGAGAGAGAGAGAGAGAGAGAGAGAGAGAGAGAGAGAGAGAGAGAGAGAGAGAGAGAGAGAGAGAGAGAGAGAGAGAGAGAGAGAGAGAGAGAGAGAGAGAGAGAGAGAGAGAGAGAGAGAGAGAGAGAGAGAGAGAGAGAGAGAGAGAGAGAGAGAGAGAGAGAGAGAGAGAGAGAGAGAGAGAGAGAGAGAGAGAGAGAGAGAGAGAGAGAGAGAGAGAGAGAGAGAGAGAGAGAGAGAGAGAGAGAGAGAGAGAGAGAGAGAGAGAGAGAGAGAGAGAGAGAGAGAGAGAGAGAGAGAGAGAGAGAGAGAGAGAGAGAGAGAGAGAGAGAGAGAGAGAGAGAGAGAGAGAGAGAGAGAGAGAGAGAGAGAGAGAGAGAGAGAGAGAGAGAGAGAGAGAGAGAGAGAGAGAGAGAGAGAGAGAGAGTGTGTGTGTGAGAGAGAGAGAGACAGAGTGTGTGTGTGTGTGTGTGTGTAGAAGGCCTCGAAGACTCTTGGAGCTGAGCTGCAGGTTCAACAGTGTCTCCAGAGCGAGAGAAACTCTCTGAAGCTGAAGCACAGCACACTCAGCGCCACATTCTGCACGAACCACACTAGAGTCACTCTTACCCTCGTGCTTTATTCGCTCGCTTCAGCTTGATATCCAGCGAAACGCTCATCTTCTGTGTTCTGTCATTCTTCTTCTTCGGGTTTTAACGTTGCATTACTGCCATCTTCTGGCTCTAGTTATTTCCCACATACTTTAGTCATCATATTCTTGTCACGAGTCCCGTTTTAGTCAGAAAGCAAATCAAATACTTCATTCCTTGTTCACTCCTACTGCAGTCCATTATATTCTTTACTCCACGTCCTGTTAGTCCTATTTTTTCCATGTCATTTATCATATCCATCCTCTGTAATTCATA